TCTCAGTATGTTTGACATGATCTATGTCTGCGTAGTACGCCAGCCTGCCTGGTCGACGCCATCATGTGTCACAGTATCCGCTTCGTCGACGTTCGCTCGCTCGCTCGCTGGCGTTTTTCTTTCGGTTTCCTTTTACTCTCCATCTGTCTTACTTTATGTCGCAATCTCTTAATAAAGTTTACACTAAAATAATTACAGACCTCATCCGTGTCAGGCGTCCGAAGTCCATCAGTGATCAATCACTTCGTGCACCTTTACTATTATCATTTTTAGCGTTATCAGTTGTTATCAGCAAGATCATTCTCGTCATCGTTCATTGTCATCACCACATTTTGCGATACAGTCTTGCTCTTTTCTTATTTGTATTATTATTATTATTGTTATATGATTGTACCGACAAACCTGAAGTATTAGTGTAAGCCCGTCGTTCCGTTGATGGCGGCTTTGCAGCTTTAGCCGGTAACGTGTTTTTTTTTTTTCACTCCCAAAATGTTCTTCTGTTTATCCTAAAACTATCTTTTTTATGCTTTGTTCTTAATCGACATCGTTTCCTTACGCACACCCCTTTTACCACTTTACACGTGCTTTCATTTTTTTATCTATATTATTCATTATCATTATTTTTATAATAATTCTCCGTAAGTTGCGGGCGCCTCTATTCATTTTATTTCGTTCATTCGATTGCTGTTGCCACACTGCTACTATTGACAGGGGCCATTCTTATTTCGTTCATCATCATCGTCTTATTTCATTACTAGAGTGTTATTTGTTTTCTTTTTACTACATACTCATCTGCCGCCTTGGCTTCGTCGTGTCTGAGTGGAACTGGTTTATGCTGAACTCTTTTTTTGTTTTCCGCGATGACTACTACAATATCTAAATCTGCTTCGCGAGTTAGCTATACGAGGGCGCTAAGGTCCAACTTGTTCAGTTTCACCAACCGCTCGGCAGAGGGCACCCTAATTTATGTACAGGGAACGGGCGCTCTCTAGATGGGAGCTCTTGACCCGTTAGTTTTATTCTTTTTTTATTAGGGGAAGACACACTCACGCCCACACGCTTACTCAGACACATACATACACACACTCACTCAAATATACGCTCATACCTTAATCGGTATTACATGTACATACATTACTAGGATTTGGCTCGTTTTATGCGGTTTGTATTCTGCTGTCTACGACCGAGGTTTATAGACATTGTTTTTTTTTTTGGTAATCCTATAATCGGCTACAGTCGCAATTGTTCACGTCCTAAATTAATACTATTATTATCATTATAGGCAAACTGAAGTGGGTGAAAGGGTCTTTCCGAAGGACTTTGAAACGTTCAGGGTTCTTGGGCGTTTTTAATATTGCAGCAATTCATTCGATGAAACGACTGCCTCTTACAGAGGCATATTCAGCCGGCTTCGTTCGTTGACGTTAGCGACATGACCTTAGCAGAATTGCTAAAATCAAACGAATACTGGTAATAGAGGGTGAGCCTATATCCGAAACACGAGAGCGAGATGTTTGATTTGTCCCTTGTTTATTACTATTTTATGTCTGCCTTGTTTCTCCTGCCAAATTTCCTCCTCTTTTCATACTGTTCGCAAAGTAAAGAGAGATCATCGTGAATGATTGAAGCTTATGACGAAAAACAGGTTCTATGTCCTCTATATCTTCCTTCCTCTTCATATTTTCGCCATTTCTTTAAGGGACTCCTACAAGAGAGGCTTCGTTTTGCGTCACACTCGTCCATAAACTGGGAATGTGTCCGGATGCCAGCCGGTGCCAATTACTAGCCTCACACTTTTGTGTTTTTCTTTTAGATATTTTTCAACACTTGCCGCTTGCTATTATTAGATTTTGCTTAATTTTCATTACAACAACGTACGAGTATTTAGTTATCTGTCTTACGCGATCCGGCGGAACATCTGATACGGGAAGCAAGGCGCCATACCCCGCCCCAACTTGGTCGATGCGCGACGCGTTAGCACAGAAATAGAGGTAAAACCTACGCTCATTTTGTTCGCCTTCTGATCGAATTTTTATTTAGTCTATTTACTAAAAATCGTCTTATTTTCTGTTAAGGCGAAGCCTTACTTCTCTCTCTCTTACGTCCTATCTGTGTGTTTCTTACCATCGAAGCCCACTTTTGTATTCACTCTGCACGTTCTTTTTTTTCCTTTTATTATTATTGTTATTACTCTTATTGTTGTGATTTTTATTATTATTGTTTTTATTATTCTTTTTATCACGACAAGGTGGTAACCATTAGATATTGGGCTAGTTGTGTCAGCCCAACAGCTCGAATCGTCGTAGGGACTTTTACATTGTATTGGCGGCACTAGTTTCTAGCTCATTTCGACATCTTTAGACGTCTGTAGTAGTGTTTCGCCAAGGTTTGATAGGTGGTGTGGACGCTGGGTTTAACAGGAACGTGGGCATCACATGCCACTAGCCACGCCACTAATGCTCACTACAATCGATCTGTCAACTAGGATCTTGCAAACTATAGGAAAACGAATAGTAATGATGGATGTTGACGATTTACTTCGTTTACAGGCGTAAATAAAGAAATCTACTAGATATTTTGCTTTTAGCTGATAGTTCCTAAAGGTTGCGCACCCCTTCATATCTGTAGTACTCTCTAAGGTGCTACAAGTTTGCAAGCTGTCTGCTGAAGTCCCGCGATTACTGCTTACCGAAGCATGATCGCACACCGAAGGCTCTCGACGTACTTGTTATGTCAAGGGTGTTCCTAAGACCGTACTCCTCTTCGACAGTTCTCTAACACGACGCTAAAATACCGTTCTTATAGTGTAATGCCAGGGACAGGAGGTGTGAGCGGACCCGAAAAAGGAGAAACTCTATTTCAATAGCATTAATCCCATTTTGCTTGTTTCCTTGCATAAAGATTAAGAAAAACATTGTAAAACTGCGTTGCGATGCAGACTTCTAGCGAGAGGTGGCGGAGAGATCGCGTTGTGGCTGCTTAAGGGGTTTGGTGGTTTAGACGCTAACTTAGAAATGGTCGAACTGGATGTAAGTTGCAAAAAGTAAGGAAGAGCAGGTTTAATTTTCGGGCGCGACGAGACGTCTCATCTGGCTAAAACGCTACACTCACATCCACACACAATTCAAATATAGTACAAGGTCATTGATTTTCTTTCTTATTTTGCCCGCTATATATATATATATATATGAAATCTCTGTTTCTCTAGAGTTTTTTTTCGGTCTGTTCATCTCTTGCCTTCGATACCGCCAGTAATAATGGTATTGGCAACACATGTTATGAACAGCACTAGCTCGGCAAACGGCTAGACAAGCCATGGTGTTTTACACCCTGACGAATAAATCTTGTTAGATTCTTCTTTTTTCTTCATATCCTCACCTATGTTCTCATCACCACATTTCGTTATCATTTACGAAGTAATCATTATAATAATTGTATGGTCTCGTTATACATAAATCTCCTCACCTTCGTTATATATATATATATATATATATATATATATATATAGTAATAGATACACTATTGCGCATTTTCCAGGCCAGGCGAAGACCTACTGGGGGCTGAACGGCCAATGCTGTTTTACTTCGCTGCTGTTGTTGTTGTTGTTTTACTCTGTTGTTCTCTGTTTACAGGTCAAACTTCATCATTTGTTTTTGCCTTTTCCATGTCCTATCGCCTGACCCATGGCCGGGGGCGGATAATCTAAACATGGACAACCGCCGCTGCCTCTGAGAACTGAACCGGGGGTGCAAAACACTGAGCAGATATTTTCTCATATGTTTTTTTTTTTTCATTATTTTCATATTGTTATGTCGAACGTGTTTTCTGTAATTAAACAGCTTCATTCTTCCTGTGTCCATTCTCCAGGGTGTTTCAATGACCACAGCGGGTTGACATAAATATTCAGCCTATTTACTGTATTAGCTTTAACATCAAGACGAGGACTGTCTTCAGATAACTTTAGTAATTTAGTCTAGCGCGGCAGCTTCCAATAAATGCTCTTGTCATTACGCTAAGCAATATCATTAGTACGTTGTTTTTATCTTGTGCTCTTCTTCATTAAGTCCTGAATACTTTTGTTGCACGGCAAATGATATTTTCTTAGGGCAAGCAGATCGTATTATGCAAACGAGTATTTATGACAAGGATCGTGCGCCATTGGTGCTCTTTTTCACTAATATTGCTTGATCAAGCAGCAATACAGTAACGTTAACGTATTGGCGTAACAACGGGAAAAAAATGGTGGAAGCGGCAACTCCATCATATGCAATGGCGAAAGTGGTGCAATATTGATCGGTACGTCGTAGCTAGGCTATGTAATCATTTCGCAGGAGTAGCACATCATGCTACCGATTTTGTATACAGCTCAAAAACGCCACAAAGAGATTTTGTATTGACCCTCTGAAGTTATGCAGGCTTCCCCTGCTTGGGATTTTGCCTCTTTTGCTTCTTTCCAGTCTGAGTAAAAAGGCCGTACTACTATGCGACTTCAGATAGGTTGAGTGTGGTTTTCTCGACTCTTTTAAATGCAATTAACAATTTAAAATATTTGACATTAGCGAGCATGCGCTCATAACCGCACGCGGCACCGGGGGTCTGGGTACTCTCGCGAGATCCACAGTACTTGACAGCGTCTATTAATCGTTAGTGGATTTAATTAATATTGGATTGTGTATATCTATCAATACAATGGCTTGAATGTTAACCAATATTATATATATATATATATATCAATTGAAGTTGACAATTG